CCGCCGCGTCGCCGCTTTCGCCGCGAACGAGCGCCCCCCCCGATCCCTTATCTTCCTGCTTCCCCCCCTTCTGCTCCTGACTCCTCTACGCTCTCTGGAGTTTCAGGACACCCTTGGGGTTTGTTGCGTTTTTTGATCGGGGGTTTTAATATTTTTTCCTGCTCTCTTTTTTCGAGAGCCCTTTCCCCCTGGCTTTTTAAAGCCAGAGCAATTTTTTTCCCGGAGCTTTGCCGCTCCGCCCCCTCCTCTGAGGGTACCACAGCTTCTCGCTGCTTTTCCAGTCTTTTAGACTGCACTGAGATACCTTGTAACATGATTCTTGCCGGCGAGAGTAGCTTTAACGCTGTCTCATCTTTTTTTGTTGCTAAAATATATAAATGCCTATTAATTTCTTGCCAAAACCCCACTTCGAACAACAGACATGTCTCCGCAAGTGGATAATTAAGCCTTGCCCATAATAACAGCTGTTTTAATTCTTTCTTTGGGATCCCTTCTGTATATAATTCTGCTACACTTTGTAAGGTGGATAAGATTTCCCGTTGTTCCTGGGAGAGTGTGGCCCCCATGATATTATTTTGGCCTTCTTACCGAATCTGTCGTCAGAGTGGTCTGGAGGCTCCTGTTCTCCGTCCAGCAGATTACAAGAGATGGATCCAGAGGCGCCTTTCTGGTCCCAGTCCAGGCCGCTCTGCTACGAACTGTCTTCGGCAGAAGCTGAGAGATGGAGTTCTCAGTGACTGCTGATTTTTGCAGCTCCTCCTGGCCGGTTTTTTCTTTTTCTTCTTTCTTTCTTCAGGCTTCTCTCCTCTGGAGTTATCAGTGCTGTCCTCTTGGCTCTTCAGCTCTTCAGGGCTTTTCCCCCCACCGAAAGGTTTGGTGGGAGATAGCCCGCACAGCGGACGCCAGTTGTCGGATTTTGGGGCTGTTTAGATGGTCTGGGAAAAGCCCAAGATGGCCTTGGGTCGCCCGCGTTCCAAAGGACGAAAAGAAACTTCAGATTTTTTCTCGGTCTCGGTGTTTATTAATTGCTTATCTAAAAGATTTTCTCTTGGCCTGACAGAGTTCTGCTCAGCAGTCAGCCATGGGCACACACTGAGAGCCCCTGGGGCGGCCACCTATCTTTATACCCGGAGTTACGTATACAATATTTATCATTTTTCTCCAATACCCTCTACCCTTATTAACCAGTGTTCCCCTAGTAAGGTCCAATCCCAGAGTGCCAACACCACCACAGAAGATGGAGGCCTAGAGGAAGAAGAAGAAGGAGAAGGGCACGCCCCAATTCCTCCATCTTACTTCTCTAGACCCCCCTGTACAGAAATTTTAAACCCTGTATCTCACACTCCAATTAACTTATCCCTTCACCATTCACCCCGGTGAAATCCTCCTGTCCTCATACTGATGTCATCTCCCCTGTGGGATCAAAGTCCAGCCACCAGACATTTCTGGCAACATTCCAGGACTCCCGAGCCCCCCAGGGGTGGTCTCGTTCACCCTGCACCCCAGTTCTGAGAGACTGAGATCCCACAGCCCAATCCTGAGCTGATCACTTTTAATAAAGGCATTAAAAAGGAGAAGAAGTCTCCTGGCCCTGTTTATTTCACCCGAGGTCCCGCCTCCTGAGTTTGCGGGGCTTCCCGAACCCTCCCCGCAGATGCGCGCACTTCCCCACACATCACCTCCCCTGGCCATCCCTCCAGCAGAGCCTGTGGTCGCGGCAGCTCCGCCTGCGCCTGCGAGCTCAGACACACTGCTTCCCACTGCTTCCCGCGGCTGCGCTGGTGTTGCTAGGCGACGCACTCAGTGAAAATGGCGGTCGCTGCCAGCGTGTGTCCGAGGCTGCGTCTCTTGCAGATGTGCCAAGAGCCGCCCCTGTGCTGGTCCCCACAGCCCCGCTCGTGGCGGCCCTGCCTTCGCCCGCAGCGCCGATGCTGGAGGTTGCAGTTGAGACCAGCGACCCGGCGCCACGGCTGCGACTGCATTCTCTCTGGCCTCGCCGTCCCCACCGGCCACCCTGGCAGTTCTGCCGCCTTCTGGCACTCTGTCCTCCGGGTCTGCGTCAGAGGCTGCCCCTGGAACTGCAGGCCCCGCAGCATATCCAAGCTCAGACCGTCCCGGGCCGTTTGCCCTTGTGACAGCAGATTCAGCGGCCGGCCTCTCCTTCCGTGGAGAGGCATGGCTCAACAGCTGAGTGCAGGTGCAGCCCGGCTGCCTTCTTTCAAGCTCAGCGTTCTTGGTGGGTTGGGGGTGTTTGGTCGGTTGTTTCCCCTTGGGGGGTGCGAATCTCCCTGCTGTCCCGCGTGCCCCAGCAGCAAGGGGGAGGTGGGTCCTGAAAGTTCTGCCTTTGGTCCCCAGCCCAGATGGGGTGGGGGTGGTACTGGGAGGCAGATGGGGGGAACACCTTTTGCATTTGCATTGCAGAGGCAAGGGAATGGCGAAAAGCCATCATCTCGTTTGCTGTGGGGAACAAACATTCCCAGACCCGAGATGAAGAGATTCTCGGGGCAGCTTCTGTCCCCCCACTGCCAGCAGGCATCGGTGATTTTGGGGGAAGGAACCATTTGGTCACTTGCTCTGCCATTCCACTGGCAGTGTGGTGCCAGGCTGTGACAACACAGAGCCCACCTTGCGGGCCAGGCCTGGCTGTTTGGCTCGGTGCCCAGGGCCACTGCCCGGCTGGCTGTTGGGTGTGGGAGCTTTGCTTCCCCTATCAGGACCTGGACCACTGTTCTGTGGGACAGGTCTGGGGTTCCTGATCCTTCCACGTGGGCCAGGGCCCACTCAGGGCCTCTCAGGCTCCTCTCTGCTGCTGCTGCTCTTTCCAGAAAACAAAAAAATAGTTAAAAGAGGTAGTAGCAGCTCAAAAGCATTGAAGAGCCAAAAATTACAAGTGGTTCAATAAAGGGGTGTGGCCAAGACATTAAAGAAATTTTCTCAAAATTGTTTGATAACTGTCAATGGATTTTTGATAATTATTGATGATTATTCTTTAGCAATTTCTTGTTTCAGGATTCTGCAAGCCTGTTTCAGGACCAAAAGGGACTTTCAGAAATGTCAAAGAGGAACATCTTCAGTCCGTGGAGTTTCTCCTGAAACTCAGCTGTTTGGAGTTGAAGCAATGAATTTCTTTGCATTGTTTTTGCATTTTCTTATATTCTAAGATTGTTTTATTGATATGGTAGAATTTTATGTTCTACAAGTGAAGAATTTCCCTGATCATTCCACATCAGCACTTGATTGAGGTTTTTCATTGGCAACAGATAACCCGTCAAGTGTTTGTTCTTTCCTCTGCATGGGTACGGCAGACAAAATTACAAATACTTTTCTTTTTAATTTAACTAAAATTAAAAGGGCGATATGTCACAGACATCTTTTATGAAAAATCCTTTCCTTAGGATTTTTCCTCCAGAGAAGCTAGAGGCCTCAGGAACAAAATGTAAACAATGGTTATCTGCTGCTGTGGAATGCAACAGGTGGATCTTTGATTGGCCCATGTTGGTTGTTTCTAAATAATGGCCAATCACAGTGAGCTGGCTCAGACAGAGAGTTTGAGCCACAAACCTTGGTTATCATTCTTTGCTATTCTATTCTTAGCTAGCCTTCTGATGAAATCCTTTCTTTTATTCTTTTAGTATAGTTTTAATATAATATATGTAATTAAATAATAAATCAAGCCTTCTGAAACATGGAGTCCTTGTCTATTCCCTCATCCTAAGACCCCTGTGAACACGGTCACGGTGACAGGCTGCCAGGGAGACAGGGTGACCAGAGCTCTGCCACCCCTCCATCCCAGGCACAGGCGAACCGGGGGCATTTCCATGGCATCCCTGCCACACTTCCCCTCCCCCCTGCCGACCCCCCCTTTGTCACTCCCTCAGCCTGGGGCGGGGCTTGGTGGCACCGCAGGACCCCTCTCTGTGCCATCCCTGAGGTGGCACCTGTGCTTTTTGTCACCGCCACCTGCCAATTTGTCACCAGTGCCCCAAAACAGAGGGTGGCCCACATCCTACGGTGGGGGGGAAGGGACAACAACATTTTTGGTGTCTCCCTCACCACTTCCATCCCCCCGAGGATGCTGTGCGACTCTGCACCGCCCCCCCCCCCACCTCCTCCTCCTCCTTCACCTGTGCCCCAGGAGGTGATGCCGCTGCTCCCACTGGGGACGTGCCAGTGACACTGAGGGGACACCGTGGGTCACCCCTCAAAGGGACCGCAGGGTCACAGTGGGTCCTGGAGGGACAGCTGATGGCTCCTGCAGTGACAGCTGGGTGACACCAATGCTGTGGTGACAATTTGGGGGGTGGGTGCTCTTTTTGGGGTCTCCAGGGTGGGTCCCAAAGTCCCCTCTCATCACCACAAAGTCACCTCCCCAGCCCTTGCCTCAGTTTCCCTCTCGCTCTGCAGGGACTATGTGGAGCTGATGTTATAGCATTGGGTTTATTTTGGGGGATTTTGAGTTGGGGACTACTGGGATGGGCTGGTGGGACAGTGGGATGGGCCAGGCTATGGCCAGGCTGGTGGTCATCTGGCCTGGGGACAGGCCAGGCTGGGGGGCTGCAGGGTCGGGGCTGTCCAGATCAGAATCCAGCTGGGATCCATGGCTCTGGTGTCCATCTGCACCAGGGTCCATCCAGAGTGGGATCCATGCTCTCGTGTCCATCTGGACCAGGGTCAAACCTCTCCTGCCCCCATCCATCCCATACTCTCCGGCCAGGGCCACTCCTCACTGCAGAATGCACAAGACCCTCGGTCAGTGCCAAGATGACCCCAAACCCCGTCCCAGCAACCCCACCAGGCCACCCACTCCGAGCCCCAGTGCCACTGGTGTGCCCTGGAAGCCAGGCCAGCTCTGGAACTCCTGGAAAAGGAGATCCACAGTCCTGGGCTGGGGACTCAAGGGCATCCAGGATAGCGAGCACTGAGTCCATGTGGCATGGGGGGACAGTTAGGAACACAGCTGGGGACATGCCTGGGTGGACGGGGGTGGGGGTGAAGGGGGTTTAGGGGTATGGAGAGGGTTGGAGGGTGGGATGCACCCAAAACTTCACCAAGTCAAAAGGGAGGAGGTTCAAAACTGGGGGGGAAAGGATGGAAATGAGGGAAAGGAGCCAAAAAGGGGGAAAAGGACCCCAAATAGGGGAAGAGTGACCGAAAATGGGGGGAGGACCCTAATGACAGAGGAAGGATCCAAAATAGGGAGGAAAAGACACAAAATAGAGAGAAAAGACGCAAAAGACGGGGAAAGGATCCAAAACAGGGGGAAACGTCCAAAGTGGGGGGAAAGGACCCAAAATCAGAGGACAAAGGGTGTCACAGAAGCTCTTCCTGCACTTGGGGTACTCGCAGGGCTGCCCTTAGTGCAGGCTCTGTTGGTGCCTGCTCAAGACAGAACTCTGACAGAAGCTCTTCCCACACTCAGAACACTCGTAGGGCCTCTCCCCGGTGTGGATGCACCAGTGGCTGATGAGAGCAGCGTTCTGCTTGAAGCCCTTCCTGCAGTCAGGGCAGCGGAAGGGCCTCTCATCTGTGTGAAGCTGCTGGTGCAGGAGAAGAAAGGAGCTGGTCTGAAACCTCTTCATGCATTTATCACACTCATAGGGCCTCTCCCCAGTATGGATCCTCTGGTGGTCAATCAGGTGGGACTTTGACATGAAGCTCTTTCCACACCACCCACATTTGTAGGGCTGTTCCAGCCCTGTGTGGACTTCCATGTGGCGGGCCAGGTGGCACCTCCTCTGGTAGCTGTTCCCACATTCCCCACACTCAAAAGGCCGTTCCCCAGTGTGGTTTCTCTGGTGGATGGTCAGTTCAGAGCTCGTCCTGAAGCTCTTCCCACACTCTGCACACTCGTAGGACCGTTCCCCTGTGTGGGTCCTCAGGTAGGCAGTCAGGGTGGAGTTCTGGGTGAAGCTCTTTCCACACTCAGGACACTCGTAGGGCCTCTCCCCGGTGTGGATGCGCAGGCAGTGATGAGGCTGGAGTTGTTCCTGAAGCCCTTTGCACAATGGGGGCAGCAGAAGGGTCTCTCACCTTTGTGACTCCGCTGATGCCTGACGAGACAGGAACTCATCTGAAACCTCTTCCTGCATTTATCACACTTGTAGGGACTCTGTGTGGATTTTCATGTGGCGGATCAGGGAGGATCTCAGGGAGAAGCTTTTCCCACATTTTGAGCACTTGTGAGACTTCTCCCCAACCTGGAGCTGCTCATGGACCCCCAACTCAGAGCTCCAGCTCCCTCCCTGGCCCAGGGTGGGTCTTTCCTCCTCAGATCCCGGTGATCTGCGTTTGCAGACCCTCCTCGTGAGAGATCTATGGGGCTTTTCTTTCCCTTTTGATGCATGTGCTGTGGAGCTGCACAAAACAACTTCCACAAGGTTCTGCTGTGGGGATTTGACCTCCCTGGTCTCTGGCCTCAGCTCCTTGTCTGGGGAAGGAAGGACAAGCAGAGGATGGGATTTGCCTCTGTGCCACAGGGAAGGACAAGGAGATCCTCCCAGTGCGTCCCCAGCAGGACAGCTGCGGCAGCAGGGTTGTCCTGCAGTCGGGGGCCATGCTGGGCTGGGAGATGGAGCAGGACAGAGGGGGAAAGGGGCACTGACTTCCTCCTCACCTCCATTAAGCTCCCGGGACATCTTCCTTGCAGCCTCCTCCTCCTCCTGCATCAGGCCAAGGTTTGGGAATGGGGAATCCTGGTTTGGGGGAAAACAAGGGCTGAACGCATTGGATTTGATGGTCCCGCTGCCCAAGTGCAGCTGGAGAAGTCAGCGCCCCTTTCAGCCTTGGGGGGCCCGGAGTCCGCTCATCCCCAGCCTCCCGCAGCCCTCCAGGCAGCCAGTTTGTCCCCCGGCTCCGGGATCGCCCCTCTGCGCTCTCCCCTCTCCGGGGCTCCCGAGCTCCCCCCGGCTCTCCCGGGCATCTCCCAGTCCGAGATCGCCCCTGTGCCCACCGGTACCGGGCGAACGTGAGGCTGTTCACGTTCGGGTTTGAGGAAATTCACAGTTCGGGTTTGAGGTCCTGCAAGAGTCAAACATCCCCTGCCCCACGAAACCCCCCCCCCCCCCCCCGGAGACCCCCCCACGATGGATCTGGTGCGAGCTCCCCCATCCCGCTCACCTGCGGCTGCTGGAGGGGGCGATGCAGCAGGAGCCGGGGGAGCTTCGGCCTGAGGGGCGGGGGAAGGCGGCGGGGAAACCAACGTGGTTCTGCCGCTCCTCTTCCTTCCGCTCCTCCTCTTACTCCTCGTCTGTTCCTCGTCTTCCTCCCGCTTTTCTTTCACTCCTAGCCCGGCCCGGGCAATGCTGACACCCAAAAGCAGCCGCGCTCTGCCCTGGGCGGGTTCCGAAACAGCAGAACAGTGAAACTGGGGAGTGAAACTGGGAGCACTGGGAAAGATCCTAAAAGCCGTGGGAAGGAATTGGGAGCGCTTTCCCTGCGAGTCCCGCTCTTACTGGGAGCACTGGGAGGGAACTGGGAGCAAACAGCGCCCAGAGGCGGCTGCAGCCGGCGGGGCCACCATAGAAGGCGTGGTTATGAGGAGAGCGGTCGCACACTGGGATTGGTGGGTGGGAGCAGCGCGGGGTTTGCTCGGTTATGTGAAGGCCGGAGGGGCTGGAGCGATGGCGGCGGCGTGCGGTGAGAGGGGACAGGGAGCGGGAATGGGGACAGGGAGCGGGAATGGGGACCGGGAAGAGGAATGGGAATGGGGACATGATCAGAAATGGCACCCGGAACTGGAATGGCACAGAGAATGGCGACAGGGACCAAGAATTGGAATATGGATATGGGACAGGGAATATTGAAATAGAAATATGGGAACAGGAGCGGGTCCGTGAATAAGAGAAGGGGAACAGAGACTTGGAATATGGGACAGGGAATGTGACTGGGAATGGGATTCAGGCTGGGATGGGAGCGGAACGCTACCAGGGTGACATGGGAATGGGTGGGTGAGACGGGGGTGACAGCAGGGAGAGGGGGATCCTGGACAGGGGACACTGGCAACCAGGACAGAGGGACATGGAGACAGTTCCAGGGCAGGGGGTCCTTGATCAGCTGCCCCACAACTTTCGCCAGGGTCTCCCAGCACTTCTGCAGCTACTGGGCCTGTTCTGCCCAAAGCCCTGAGCAACCCCCAAGTCCCTCCCAGGAACCCTCAACTCCCTCGAACCCAGCATGCCCCCTATCCCCTGTAAGATCCCCCCATGTCCCCATCAATGGCTTATTTCAATGTCTTTATTTTTACCCCGGTTTTGGGTGTTTTGAAGGGACAAAGAGAAATGAAAGGAAAATCCAGGCCATGGGGTGCCAGGAGGATGTGAAGCCCACAGACCAGTGATTACCAAGATGGATCACTGGCACCAGGGATTGCCCGGGCTCTGCCCAGCGAGGGTCACTGGGGATCAGCCAGGGTGGATCCCTCTGTGGGGGATGGTGCTCGAGCAGTGCAGGAAGCTCTTCCTGCCCTCGGGGCACTCATGGGGCTGCCCTTAGTGATGGCTCCTTTGGTGTCTAGCCAAGTTATCGCTCTGAGAGAAGCTCTTCCCACACTCAGAACACTCATAGGGCCTCTCCCCGGTGTGGATGCGCCGGTGCTTGACGAGGGTGCAGTTGTGCTGGAAGCCCTTCCCACAGTCGGGGCATCGGAAGGGCCTCTCATCTGTGTGAATGCGCTGGTGCAGCAGGAGATGGGAGCTGGTCTGAAACCTCTTCGTGCATTTATCACACTTGTATGGCCTCTCCCCGGTGTGGCTCCTCTGGTGGATGACGAGGGTGCAGTTGTACCTGAAGCCCTTCCCGCAGTCGGGGCAGCGGAAGGGCCTCTCCTCTGTGTGAGTGCGCTGGTGCTTGATGAGATTGGACTTGGTGTAAAACATCTTCCTGCATTTATCACACTCGTAGGGACCTTCACCCATGTGGCTCCTCTGGTGTTTGATAAGGTCAGGACGCTTGCAGAAGCTCTTCCCACACTGGGGACACTCATGGGGCCGTTCTCCCGTATGGATCCTCTGGTGTCTGCTCAGTTCAGAGTTCCTCTTGAAGCTCTTCCCACACTGCCTACACTCATAGGGCCGTTCCCCAGTGTGGATTCTGCAGTGGATGATCAGGGAGGATCTCTTACTAAAGCTCTTCCCACATTCTGAGCACTTGTGGGGCTTCTCCCCATCCTGAACCTGCTCATGGACCCCCAGCTCCGAGCTCCGGTCGCCTCCCAGGCCCAGGGTGGGTCTTTCCTCCTCAGATCCCGGTGATCTGCGTTTGCAGCCCCTCCTCATGCGGGATCTCCGGGGCTTTTCTTCCCCATTGGATTCCTGTGCTGTGGAGCTGCACAAAATGGCCTCTTCCACGAGGTTCTGCTGTGGGGATTTGTCCTCCCTGCTCTCCATCCTCAGCTCCTGCTCTGGGGGAGGAAGGACAAGTAGAGGATGGGATTTGCCTCCGTGCCACAGGGAAGGGCAAGGAGATCCCCCCAGCGCATCCCCAGCAGGACAGCTTTGGCAGCAGGGTTGTCCTGCAGCTGGGGGCCGTGCTGGGCTAGGAGATGGAGCAGGAGAGAGGGGGAAAGGGGCACTGACTTCCTCCTCACCTGCCTGGGGCTCCCGGGCCATCTTCCTCTTCCTCATGGCCTCCTCCTTTTTCATCCTGCCAAGGTTTGGGAATAACGAATCTTGGTCTGGGGGGAAAACAAGGCTTACTGAATTGGCTTTGATGGTCCTGCTGCCCAAGTGCAGCTGGAGAAGTCAGCGCCCCTTTCAGCCTCGGGGGGCCCGGAGTCCGCTCATCCCCAGCCTCCCGCACCCCTCCAAGGCACCCGGTTTGTCCCCCGGCTCCGGGATCGCCCCTCTGCGCTCTCCCTGCTCCGGGGCTCCCACGTTGCCCCCGGCTCTCCCGTGTATCCCCAAATCCGCGATTGCCGCTCTGCCCGCCGGTACCGGGCGATCGCCACGTGGGATCCCCCCCAAGATCCCTGCAGGGGCATTTCCGGCCCAGCTTTGGGGCCCTGCAAGATCCCAAACATTCCCTGCCTCGCAAAAAAACCATCCCGGAGACCCCTCCGATGGATTTGGGGCGAGCTCCCCCATCCCGCTCACCTGCGGATTCCGGCGCAGGGGGCGATGCTGGCGGAACAGGGGGAGCGGCGGCCTGAGCGGGGAAACCGCGGGGCGTTGGTGTTGTTCTTCCTGCTCTTCCTCCTCCTCCTCTTCCTCCCGCTCCTCCTCCGCCCCCAGCCTGGCCCGGGCAGTGCCGATCCCCAAAAGCAGCCGCGCTCTGCCCTGGGCGGGTTTCACAGCGGGCCCGTCCCGTGCGGCACTGAGAGCGATCCTGGGAGCACCGGGACCTATCCTGAGATCAGCGGGAAGGAATTGGGAGCGCTTTCCCTGCCAGTGCCGCTCTTACTGGGAGCACTGGGAGGGAACTGGGAGCAAACAGCGCCCGGAGGCGGCTGCAGCCTCCAAACCGCGGGGAGTGGTTATGCAAATATGAGAGCGATCGCGCACTGGGATTGGTGGGCGGGAGCAGCGCGGGGTGTGCTGGGTTAGGTGAGGGCCGGGGGAGCCGGAGCGATGGCGGTGGCGTCCGGTGCGAGGGGACAGGGAGCGGGAATGGGGACAGGGAGCGGGAATGGAACCGGGGAATGAGAATGAGAATGGGGACAGGGACCGGGGATGGGGTCAGGGAATGGAGATAGGGACCGGGGACAGGGACAGGAACTGTGAATGAGACCTGGGATGGGAATATGGGAACGGGACAGGGACCATGGAAAGAGCAACCACAGAGAGAATATGGGCTGGGGATTGGTGCTCCAAAGTGTCCCAGTGAAAGCCAGCAGGGGCTGTGAGCTCTGCAGCTGGGCCTCCCCTGCGCTGCTGCGGCCCAGGGCCCAAAGGCGGGAGCTGCAGCCTCGCTCCTGTCTCAAGAACAGGAGCCTCCTCCAGGCCCATGGCCCCTGCATGGCCCCAGCGTGAGGGAGGGCTCTGAGGCACAGCGGCTGCTGGCAGGAGGGGCTGCTCCGGCCAGCCGGGGGCCTCTGAGAAATGCCCAAAGCCTTGTGCTCTCTGCAGCTGGCCAAGGACAGCAGCCGGGCTGAACGGTTCGTGTGGCACAGCCGGCCCGAGCTGTGCAGCCCTCAGGGCCCCATGGGAGAGGCGGCCCTCGGGAATGGGACCGGGAGTACGGGACTGGGACCAATACTGGGATCGGGCATGGATACAGGGACAGGAAATACGGGACTGGGGACAAGGACATGAATAGGAACAGGGACCTGGACTAGGACCAGGAATATGGGAGAGGGACCTGGAATGGGACCAGGAATGGGAATATGGGAACGGGACAGGGAATACAGGAGTGGAAATCTCAGAGGAGCATTGGAGTAGGAACAGGACAGGGAGTAGGAACAGGACAGAGAATGTGGGACAGAAACAGAAATTGAGACCGGGAGTGGTATTCACGCTGGGATGGGAGCACAACGTGTCCCAGAGCAGGGTGACATGGGAACAGGTGGGCAAGAGGGGAGTGAAAACAGGGAGAGAGGGATCCTGCACAGGAGACACCGGGAACTGAGACGGGGGGACATGGGGACAGTCCTGGGCCAGGGGCTCCTTGATCAGCTGCCCCAGAACCTCCACCAGGGTCTCCCAGTGCAGCTGGAGCTGCTCGGCCTGGGGTGCCCAAAGGCCTGAGCAACCCCCAAGTCCCTCCAGGGAACCCTCAGCTCCCTCAAACCCAGCATCCCCCACATCCCCTTCAAGATTCCCTCATGTCCCCATTCTTGCCTTGGTTCAACATCTTTATTTTTACCCAGTTTTTAGGTTTTTTGAAAGGACAAAGAGAAATTAAAAGAATATCAAGGGTACAGGGAGCCAGGAAGAATTGGAGCCCCCCAGGCAGGTGTCTTCCCAAAATGGATCACCAGCATCAAAGATCACCGGGGCTCTGCCCACCTCGGGTCACTGGGGATCATCCGGCGTGGACTGTCCCATGGGGGATGGAGCTGGAGCAGTGCACGGAGCTCCTCCCGCACTCAGGGCACTCACAGGGCTGCCCTTAGTGGTGCCTCCATTGGTGTTGGGTCAAGGCTGAGCTCTGGCAAAAGCTCTTCCCACACTTGGGACACTCATGGGCCTGTGACATCACAAGGAGCGGAGATGGATGTCAGGCACCCACCAAAGCTGCTCTCAATCCCTTCCAGAGATGGAGAGGAGAGAAAATAGAATGAAATCTTCATGGGTTGAGTTAAGGACTGGGACAGATCACTCAGCAAATGCCATCATGGGCAAAACAGTTCAAAATTAGAGACATTAATTGAATTTATTACTATCAATCAGAGCAGGATAGTGAGAAGTAAAATAAAGCTTTAAAAACACCTTCTGCCCATCCCTCCCTCCCTCCCAGCTCTGCCTCCTCCCCCAGTGGGTGCAGGCAGACAGGCATGGGTGTTCTGCTCGGTTCATTCCTGTTGTTTCTCCTGCTGCTCAAGGAGAGGAGTCCTTCCCCTGCTGCACCATGGGGTCCCTCCCTGCTGGAGACACTTCTCCATGAACTTCTCCAAGGTGAGTTCATCTCAGGGACAGCAGCTCTTCACAAACTGCTGCAGCGTGCCTCACTCTCCCATGGGCTCACGTGGACAGACCCTGCTCCAGCGTGGGCTCCTCTCTCCATGGGTTTGCAGGCCCCTGCCTGGTCCCTGCTCCAGCACAGGTTTCTCATGGGGTCACAGCCCCCGCTCAGGCACCCCCTGCTCCAGCACGGGCTCCTCCAGGTGCTGCAGGCGCATCTCTGCTTTCCGTGCCCTCCATGGGCTGCAGGGGCTCAGCTGCCTCCCCAGGGGCTGCCCCAGGGAATCTCAGGGCAGTCAGCTCCAGCCCCTGGAGCGGCTCCTGCCCCTTGTCCTGCCCTGCCCTGGGGTGTGCAGAGTTGTTCCTCTCTCACGTTCTCACCCTGGTCACAGCTACAACTACATGATAACCGATTTTCGTACATCTCTTATCCCAAAGGTGTTACCACCATTTCTAATGGGCCCAACCTTGGGCAGCGGCTGGTCTGTCGTGGAGCTGGCTGGAATTGCCCCTGTGGGACATGGAGGAGCAGCTGCTTCCATCATCCTCTCACAGAAGGTGCTCCTAGGGCCCCCTCTTACCAAAACCTGGCCATGCAATCCTAGTATAAGTATGGTCGGGTTTTATTACCATTATTCATTCTTATTATTGCTATTTTGGATACTTTTGCTATTAATATTACAGTTATTACTTGTATTTTTTAAATCTTTTTGACTCTATATTAAGAGTGTCTTTAGTAGAGCTTGAAACAAGAGTTCTTAATTGCAAGTAGAAGTTATCCTTTTTTCAGCCTCTTGCCCTGCCCTGTTCTCTGTCATTGCTGTGTGTGAAGCTGCTGCTGCCAGGGCTCCCCATTTCCCTGGTTTGGGAAATTCGATGGCATTGTTCACATGTCAGAAAGAGAGGGCTCATTCCAATCAAATGCATTGCCTGAACTCTTCTAGTCCCAGTGTTGGAACCTTGTTTTGTAATGTTGTTGACTTTCCCAGTATCTGCTAATATTTGTGATTTTATGACAAAATGTTCTTGGATGTGATTTTGCAAAATTCTGTAGTCAGCTTTCAGTTTGCTCTGGGATTTCTTAATGATGTGTCAGAACTGAATGCAGCATTTTGGGTAGTGTGAAAAACATGTTCAGTCTCCTGTGAAAATTTAAAAAGTGTAATAAAGGACAATAGGAGACAGGGACCATAGAGCAAAGGGTATTCTGGCTGGGTGCACCTTGGCACTCAGCCTAGACCACCCTGTTACCTTTGGGGATACCCCTTAAATACCTTTTCCATTACATCAGCCTGTTGCATATTCATAGATCCTTATGCATAGTAAACTTTTCCCCCAAACTAGTTTACATGTTCCAAGAATTATTTAGCATGGCTCCTCCTTGGGTTCACCTTTTTAGAGCATGCAGATTCCTTGGTTGTGGTTTTAGTCCTTTTTTATCACCTCCAGTTTTTGGGTCTTGGTCCACACTGTCTTCATACGGTGAGTGCTGATATTTGACATACCTGTAGCAGGTGTCCTCATCCTATGTTCATTGGATGTTATCCCATCCAAGCAGGCATTTTAACACAAGCATGGCTATTTCACTTCTATGTCTAAGCTTAATTAACAACAGAAAGAAAAACCGTATAACAAAGTTAGTTTAACATTACACATATAAAATCCATTTTTTATTGGCAAAAGCCATTATTATAATATGTATATCTAACAGGTGGGAAGCCTTCACTCAGAGCTAGCATTGTCTCAGCAGCAGCTGGTTTTGCACTTGTAAGCACAGACAACAAAGATTCCATGAGCTGAATGTTCTGCCTCGTTGCGGAACCTCCAGTGGTGGCTGGAGCCAGCTGCCCTGGGAGATGCAGGTGGTGCCGGGCGGGCAGTGGCCGGAGCCCATGGCAGGGGCTGGCCATGGACACTGACCCTGGGCTGAGCAGGGGCTCGGGGCCCTGCGGCACTGGGCGCTCGGGGCCCGCTCACGCTGGGATCCTGCGGGAGCCGGGAGCAGCGAGAGAGCCCGGGCCAAACATCAGCACCCGTGAATCATGATTTAAAAATTTAGGATTTTAGGTGAGAGTTAGAACCAGTTCATAATGAAGTTAGATAAACCAACAATAGGTTAATGATTATTAGATGCTTAAGCTAAAGCTAATTGTTATATTATGAGCTCATTTGTTGAAGGAAGCGGAGCAAGTGAACCATTATAGGAGCATATTGAAACCAGTAGAACAATGCCCAGCACCTGGACTCTGTGTCAATCCATCAGCAAGCAGGGGGCCTTGGATCGTGCCAGAGGGTCACAGAGATCTGACCAAGACCTTCCTGTCTTCTTCCCTGGGACCACTGACCCAATTCAGGACCACCAACCCAATTCAAGAGAAGAAATGTGCACTCATGAAGGACTAATGATCTCATTTTTATACAAAGTGTTATAAATGAGAAGCTTGACTAGGTCAATATTCAAGCAGCAATCAATTTATTAATTAATATGGTAAAATATGAGCAATACAGCACTGGGTACAGTGGGGGAAGTTTTCCCTCCAACTGCACACCGATACTTGAGGCTTACAGGTATTTATACAGGTACTCATAAGCTTTCTCAGCAGTTTCTATTCCCAATTTTTACTCATCAGCAGTTTCTATTTCCAATTTTTACGTCACAATTCTATACACTATTGTGATTTAGTTTTTCTCAGGATGTATCCCAGAAAGGAGTATCCCGACATGATGGTGGTCTGGCTTCTGAAAGAAGAAAGAAGTATCCCAGCTGATGCGGTTCCAGTTTCCAGATGTGGGTCCACCTTTTGATTGCAAGGACTATAAATCTCATAACAGTGATGTGCAGCTTCCCTTGGTCAAAACTATTAATCATTGAGTTGATGTTCATCTTCCTTTCTCAAGCTGCTTTTCACTGTTTTGTTAAGGCGTGAGATAAGCATGTTTCCTTTTTATATATTCTAAAGCTATAGTTTCAAAGATCCTTACTACAAGCAATAGTCTAAAATTATACTTCAAAAGGTTATTATTGCAAAACTCTTTCGGGCTTAGCTACAAGCAGAAAGTTCCTGTCTAAGAGCAACATCCTTAAAGCTTTAATTCAAATGCTCCTAAATCAACTTAAGACTTATAAAGGTTAATTGTGAACAAAGGATAGGTTCAAAGGCCTTCTTCCATGCTTTACTTTTCTCAGTTATTATTAGAATTCGTCTTTACAAGTGTCCCATGGTCAGTTTCCACAGATATCATAATCACAAATACACACGTTGCCTGTATGTACCTGACACGAAACACAGCTTTGTATTTCACAAAAGCGGGCATGGGAGGTGCTGGGGTTATGCATATGTATTGTTTTTGGGAAATAAATAGAAGGCAAAAGTCCTTGTGTGGTGCAGTCACACATTTCAGGGACGACCCTGCCCGTGCCACCCGCCGGTGTAATAAACACACCACTTTCTAACGGTGACGAGTTCGAGAGTCTTTGCCCACGATTTTTGGTTTTACCGATTCACCGGGGCCGGCACGGGCGGGGAGGGGGCACAGCCCAGGGGGACCCGCAGAGCCTCCCTGGTCCAAATCCCCACCTGCAGCAGCAGGGAAGCTCCCAGGATCTTGGGGACAGGGAGGAGCCGCAGGCAGGTGTTCCAGGTGCCTCCTTTGGGGCAGGGTTCTGTCCCGATATGAGGGAATTCCCGCAGGCTGGGCGGGCTGGGGCCGCTGCCGAGCACCGCCGCCTTTCCCCGGGAACCCCTGGGCAGAGCTCTCTGCTCGGGGGACTCCGGGACAGAATTTTGAGGGGTCCCGGTGTTGGTGCCCGCAGAGCCCCGGCGCTGGGCCGGGGGATGCGTGGGACCCTCCCGGGGGGGTGGCTGGGCTGCATTGTCAGCCCCGAGCCACGGGGGGATCGCCCGGCACCGGCGGGACTGGGGCTGGAGGGCAGAGAGGGCGGCACCGGAGCTGGGGGAGCCTCTGCAGCCTGCGGGGTCGGACATCCCGATAAGGGGGACCCCGGGAGCCTGGAACGTGGAGCCCGGATAGGGGGGACCCTCTGCAGCCTGGAGATGTTGGGACCATGGACAAGGGAGACCCATGGGTGCCCCGGGGCCCTGAAACGGGGGCCCTGCACAGCTGGTACCCCTGGAGCCCCTCTGACACCCACCTGGGAGCCCAGGGAAGGGAACCTCTGGGATTGCCAGGAGCCCCTGCAGCCCAGAGAGAGGGGACGCCAATACACACTGGAGCTGCAGAAGGCCAGGCAGGAGGGACCCCTGAACCCCAAAGTGGAGAGACCAGAGCGGGGAACTCCTGGGTGAATGGTTGTTTGGTGAATCCTGGTGGTTTGGGTTTTTATGACGGTGGCTGAACCTTGCTGGTCTGGAGGTTTTTATGGACACCAGACACCTGGTGACTTCTGGAGATGGAATTGGGCAGGAGGAACACCCAAGGCAACACACTCACACCTTGTTTTTCCCCCATAAAAGGAATTTCAGTTCCCAAAGTTTGACCTGATGGAGGAGGAGACCATGAGGAAGATGAAGATGCCCTGGCAGCCCCGGGCAGGTGAGGAAGAAGTCAGTGCCCCTTTCCCCCTCTCTCCTGCTCCATCTCCCAGCTCAGCTTCCTTCCTTCCTTCCTTCCTTCCTTCCTTCCTTCCTTCCTTCCTTCCTTCCTTCCTTCCTTCCTTCCTTCCTTCCTTCCTTCCTTCCTTCCTTCCTTCCTTCCTTCCCTCCTTCCCTCCTTCCTTCCTTCCCTCCTTCCCTCCTTCCTTCCCTCCTTCCCTCCCTCCCTCCCTCCTTCCCTCCCTCCCTCCTTCAAACACTTCGTTCCTTTTTCTTGTTCCTTTCTCTCCTTGTCCTTCCTCCCCCATAAAAGGAGCTGAGGCCAGAGACCAGGGAGGACAAATCCCCACAGCAGAACCTCATGGAAGAGGCTGTTCTGAGAGGCTTGACAGTGCAGGAATTCAATGGGGACAAAAAGCCCCGGAGATCCCACATGAAGAGGGGCTGCATACCCAGCCCAGGAAGCAGTGAGGAGGAAAGACCCACCCTGTGCTGGGAAAGCAGCCGGAGATCCAGATGCAGCTTGGAGCTGGTGGTTCCTGAGCACCTTCATGGCAGGGAGAAGCCCTACAAGTGCTTGGAATGTGGGAAGAGCTTCAGGCAGTGCTCCAGCCTCCTCACCCACCTTTGCATGCACCTGGCTGGGACCCCCTTTGAGCAGGGGCAGATTTGAGCCAGAATATTGGGAGTCCCAGAGCCAGCCTGGTGAGTGCACCCAGCACATCCCCCACTGACCCGGAGCTGCTGCAAGTCCAGAACAGCCAGAGCAGGGCTGAGCTGGGGGAGCCAGGGGCTGGGGGGATCCACAGCAATAGGCGTTATCTGTGGGGCTGGGATGGGAGTTGTCCTCCTGCTCCTCACCATCCTGTGCTTCCCAGAGCCCAGTCACTCCCAGTATGATCCCTGTTGCCCTCAGCATGGTTCCAATTGCTCCCTGTTGCTCCCAGTGGTCTCCAGTATAGTCCCAGTCACTCCCTGTATGATCCCAGTCTCTTCCACCAGGGTCCCAGTCATGCCCAGTTGCCCTCAGTGTAGACCCAGTCACTCCCACTTGCTCCCAGTTGCCTCCAGCATGGTCCCTGTTTTCCCCAGCATGGTCCCTGTTGTTCCCAGTGTGGTCTCTGTCACTCCCAATAGGGTTACAGACACTCCCAGTATATCCCAGTTGCCCTCAGCATGCTTGGAGTCATTCCCAGTCACTCCCAGTATGATCTCCGTATGATCCCAGGAGAGCCCAGTCACTTCCAGTAGGAGCTCATGGAGCAAAGCTCATGGAACGCCTGGAGGACCCAGCCAGAGGAGGGTCCCTCCAAGTTCTCTGGCTGCAGGAAGAGCCCCAAGGAGCAGAGGTTCCCCCCAGAGCCACCACCCCAAGTAGGAGGTGGTGACAGCTCTGCAGCCTGGGGCCCAGGACCACCAGGGGGGACTCCAGATGGACACCCCAGCAAGTAGCTCACACAGCCCCTCCTCCTGTGCCCAAAACCCCACCCTTGGCATCCCTCATCCCTCCCTGCAGTCCCCTCTCCAACATCTGCAGGCCTCTGGCAAGAGCCCAAAGGGATGGAAGTGCCTAAAACGGTGATGAAGTGCCTGAGCTGCTCCCAGCTGTGGATGTTCCTGTCCACAAACCTCTCCTGGTCAGTGCTATGTGGAGATGGGAGGGGGATTAGGGAATGCTGAGAAGACTGAAAAGGGGTTTTGTATGCTCTAAGGGGCATTTTTGGTGGTGGGAGGGTGTAGGGGGCTTTTGAGGGGTCTGTGGGGGAGTTTTGGGAGTTCTGGAAGGGCTGTGCAGCTTGGAAAGAATTTGGGTGGGTCTTTGGAGGGGTGGAAAAGAGTTTTGATGGATCTTGAGGCCATTTCTGTTGCATGGAATGGTTTGGGGAGTGAGCAGAGATCTGTGGGGTGGTTTGAGGGGGCTGGGAGGGGCTTTTAGGCAGTCATGACCCCCCAGACCCCCAGAGCTGCCACCAGACCCTGCCCACAAGGTGCTGCTGGGGGACAGGGGCTCCATGTAGGGGTTTGTCTTCCTGGCACCCTGGGAGTGAGGGGGTATCCCCCTGGGCTGTGTGTGACCCTCCCATCCTGGTGTCAACCCCTTGTCCCTCCCCACAGGGCTCCTGCCCCAGCTCCTGCTCCCCCCAGAGGGAATTTGGGGAGGGGGCACAGGGAGTGCACAGCCCCCACCAGGGGATGACGCTGGCCCAGCCCCTTTGTTCAGCACCAAGCTGGGCCTGGGGCCGCAGGAGGAAGAGGCTGATGGGAAGCAGATCCTGCAGCTGGGACAGTGCTTGGGGTCAGGGCAAGGTCCTGCCCTGCACACCTGGCTCACGTGTGACCCTGCCCCGGGACATTCCCATCCCCATGGATGCCATCCCCAACATCTCACTCCTGGGATCCCTCACCCATCTCTGCAGTCCCTGCTCCAACACCTCCAGGCCTTTGGGAAGGGCCCTGATGCCGACAGAACTTAGATCAAAGTTACAAAGTGATGATGTTGCTTAAGTTATATCAGTATAACCTGATAGATCTGTATAACCTGGTATCAATAGAACCTAAATAATGACTTTTTATATATCTAGATAAATATACGTAGATAACCTGAATCATACATTTTTTGTGCCTATATAACCTGATATAAATAACTTTCTACAATGCAATGGCTTGTATATGGTTAACTAGTTGCTTAATGCTCAACAGACAGAAAAAAGAAGAAAAAAACCTCACCAGGTGGAGAGCTTCAGAGATAGATAGGGATAGTACTAATGAGAAATTGTGCAAAGCCAATGAGCCACAAAACAAAGAATTTAGGCTGGTTAGGACCAGACACACCAAGGTACACCATAGCTGCACATGCTCCAAAGACAAAGTTGAAAACTTCAGATGTGAAGAAAGCCTTGGAAGCCTTTCCTAAAATGCCCTCCCTGCAAAACCAGGACAATCACAGACTCCTGACAGACCCCAGATTAAGAATATGCAAGTGCACTGCAGAAGAACTATCTAATACCCCTGAGCTCATACAATGTAAATGAGTCCTGCAGGTAGGTGATGATGTTGTAGTGACACAGTGACACTGAGCAACACCTACTGCATGAATATACCACAGCACATGACATCTAAAAACACCACTCTGTGGGGATTGATTTCCAGCTTGTATTTCGGGCATCAGCCCAAAGGGATGGAATTTCCTACCCAGAGTTCCCACCAAGCCCAAGTGTGGATTTGCAGCCCACAATTTTCCCAGTTTGCCTCTCCTTTTCCCCACGTTGGATTCCCCCTGCCCCCATCAGATGGGAGAAGCTGAGAGCCCCACACTGCCCATCCTGGTCTCTCCCAGCTCAATCCCTGCTCCTGTGACTTCTAGAGATGAGCTTGGGCAGGAGGAATCCCCAGCTCTCACACCTTGTTTTCATCCCCAAACCAGGATTTCCCATTCACAAACCTTGGCCCGATGCAGGACGAGGAGGAGGCTGTGAGGAAGAGGAAGATGTCCCGGGAGCTTAATGGAGGTGAGGAGGAAGTCAGTGCCCCTTTCCCCCTCTCTCCTGCTCCATCTCCCAGCCCAGCATGGCCCCGGCTGCAGGACAACCCTGCTGCCAAAGCTGTCCTGCTGGGGATGCACTGGGGGGATCTCCTTGCCCTTCCCTGTGGCACAGAGGCAAATCCCATCCTCTCCTTGTCCTTCCTCCCCCAGAGCAGGAGCTGAGGATGGAGAGCAGGGAGGACAAATCCCCACACCAGAACCTCGTGGAAGAGCCTGTTTTGAGTGGCTCCACAGCACAGGAACCCAACGGGGAGGAAAAGCCCCAGACATCGGGCACAAGGAGAGGCTGCAGACACAGATCACAGGGATCTGAGGGGGAAAGACCCACCCGAGGCTGGGGAGGCTGCCGGAGCTCAGAGCTGGGAGCAACTTCAAGATGAGGAGAAGCCCCACAAGTGCTTGGAATGTGGGAAGAGCTTCAGCCAGAGCTTCAGTCTCCTCACCCACCTTCAGCTGCACCCAGGGGAGCAGCGTTGAGTGTAAGGAAAGTGGCAAGAGGTACAGGCACAGCTCTCACCTCTACCACCAGCGGGTGCACACCACAGAACGGCCCTACACGTGCTTGGAATGTGGGAAGAGATTCAGTGTTCGATGCACTCTGACCTCCCACCAGAAGGTCCACACTGGGGAACAGCCCCTCGAGTGTTCCGAGTGTGGGAAAAAGGCTCGGAGCAGTTTGGATCTCCTCAAGCACAGCACACCAGTGTCCCAAGTGTGGGAAGACCTTCAGGCACAGCTGTAGCTCGACCCAACACAAACAGAGCCACCACTAAGAGAAGCCCTGAGAGTGCCCTGAGTGCAGGAAGAGCTCCCTGTGCTGCTCCAGCTCCAAGCCCCACGGGAGGATCCACGCTGGATGATCCCCAGTGACTCCCGGTGGGCAGAGCCCAGTGATCCGTGTTGGGAAGGCACCTGCCTGCGGGCTCCACATCCTCCTGGGTCCCCATGGCCTAGGTTTTCTTGTCATTTCTCTTTGTCCCTTCAAAACACCCAAAACTGGAGTAAAAAAATAAAGACATTGAACTAAGACATTGATGGGAACATGGGGGGATCTTCCAGGGGATGTGGGGGATGCTGGGTCCAAGGGATTTGAGGGTTCCTGGGAGGGATTTGGGGGTTGCTCAGGGCTTTGGGCACCCCAGGCTGAGTGGCTCCAGCTGTGCTGGGAGGCCCTGGTCGCAGTTCTGGGGCAGCTGATCAAGGCCCCCCTGCCCTGGGACTGTTCCCATCTCTCCCATCCTGGTTCCCGAAGTTCCCTGTGCAGGATCCCCCTCTCCCTGCTGTCACCCTCCTTTCCTCTGGCCCATTCCCATGTCACCCCACTCTTGGGCCCATTCTGCTTCCATCCCAGTCTGCATCCCATCCCCAGTCTCATTCCCTGCCCCTGTCCTGTCTGTCTGGTTGTATTGCACTAAGTTGTTTCTTTAGCTATTGTTCTGCACTGGCTGGTCTTGTTATTTTGCAGGGAATAGTTGATGTTGTAACACATGGTTTGTCCCGCACACACCCCTCTCCCCCAAAGCCCCGGTGCTGCTCTCGCCCTGGGTTACTCCTCCCCTCAGCCCTCCCATCAGTTGTATCCCATTGGCCGTGGCCTCTCTCCTCCGCCCCCCTTTCCCTGGGTTTAAAATCACCCGAGATCAGACACTTGATCTCCTTTTTCCTCTTGGACCTGCCTGGAGTGATTCCACAGTTAAGGTGGGATTTTTGGTCCCGAGGAGAAGAGCGCCTCCCGTCCTTTACTTTGGTCCTTGTGAGATAGTGAGGCCCAGGGGCCCAGAGCTGCCGAACCAGACACCACAAAGGCCCTGGGTCAACCCTGCATTGCCGTTCCCATATTCCAAATCCCATAATCCCTGTCCTGTTCCCATATTCCCGATCCTACTACTGGTCCCGCATTTCCATTTCTGCATTCCCTGTCTCACTCCCATATTCCCATTCCCACTCTCACTCCTCTATTCCTGTTCCAAATCCCGACACCATCTTCCTAATCCCCGTCCCATATTCTCTCTCTGGTTCCTGTTTCCATATTCCCTGTCCCATTCCAATATTCTCGTCCCCAGTCCCATTTCAGGTCCCTCTCCCATTTTCTCAATCCCATTCCCTGTCCCTGTCCCCATTCCTGTCCCTGTTCCCATTTCTGGTTGCAGTCCCAATAGCCTGGTCCTTGTTCTGGTCCCTGTCCCTATCTCCTATTTCCAGTCTCATTCCTGGTTCTATTCCCAGTCCCTGTCCCCATTCCTGGCCCTGTTCCCAATCCCGGTCCTGTCCTGGTCCCATTCCTGAGGGCTGCACAGCTCGGGCTGGCTGTGCTACACGAACCGTTCAGCCCGGCTGCTGTCCTTGGCCAGCTGCAGAGAGCATAAGGCTTTGGGCATTTCTCAGAGGCCCCCGGCTGGCCGGAGCAGCCCCTCCTGCCAGCAGCCGCTGTGCCTCAGAGCCCTCCCTCACGCTGGGGCAATGCAGGGGCCATGGGCCTGGAGGAGGCTCCTGTTCTTGAGACAGGAGCGAGGCTGCAGTTCCCGCCTTTGGGCCCTGGGCCGCAGCAGCGCAGGGGAGGCCCAGCTGCAGAGCTCACAGCCCCTGCTGGCTTTCACTGGGACACTTTGGAGCACCAATCCCCAGCCCATATTCTCTCTGGGGTTGCTCTTTCCATGTTCCCCGTGCCATTCCCATATTCTCTTCCCTAGTCCTTGTCTCCATTTGTGGACCCTGTCCCCATCTCTGGTCTCATTCCTGGTCCCCGTTCCCATTCCCAGCCTCCATTCTCGGCCCCTGTCCCCATTTCCGGTGCCATTTCTGGTCCCTGTCCGCATTCCCGGTACCATTCCCGGTCTCCATTCCCAGTCTCTGTCCCTAGTCCCTGTCCCATTCTTGGTCCCTGTCTCCATTCTTGGTCCCATTCCCGGTCCGTCTCCCTACTCCCGTTCCCGCTCCCCGTCCCCTCTCACCGGACGCCGCCGCCATCGCTACGGCCTCCCCAGCCCTCACGTAAGAGAGGAGACCCGGCGCTGCTCCCGCCCACCAATCCCAGCGCGCGATCGCTCCCGTATTTGCATAACCACTCCCTGCGGTTTGGCACCGCCCACCGCCGGCTGCAGCCGCCTCCGGGCGCTGTTTGTTCCCAGTTCCCTCCCAGTGCTCCCAGTAAGAGCGGCACTGGCAGGGAAAGCGCTCCCAGTTCGTTCCCGCTGATCTCAGGATCGCTCCCGGTGCTCCCAGGATCGCTCCCAGTGCCGCGCGGGACGGGGTTGTTTCGGAACCCGCCCAGGGCAGAGCGCGGCTGCTTTTGGGGGTCGGCACTGCCCGGGCCGGGCTGGGAGCGGAGGAGGAGCGGAATAAAAAGGAGCAGCAGAACCGCGTTGGTTTCCGCGCCGCCTTCCCCCGCCGCTCAGGCCGAAGCTCCCCCGGCTCCTGCTGCATCGCCCCCTCCAGCAGCCGCAGGTGAGCGGGATGGGGGAGCTCGCACCAGATCCACAGGGGGGGTCTCCGGGGGGGGGGCTTTTCGTGGGGCAGGGGATGTTTGGATCTTGCAGGACCCCGAACCCGAACCGTAAATTTCCCCTGGAGTGAGCATGGGGGGGACTCTCACGTTCGTCCGTGTCAGGATCCCTCCTAGTGAACAGATGACCTGATGGTTCGTAGGAGTTATCTCAGAGTGGAAAAACCAACACGGCACAAGGGGGTTTGCAGTGATAATCAAAACAAATTCAGTTTTATTGAAATAACCAGAGCAAAATGCGATAGAGGGATTAAGGGAAAGGAAAAGATAAAGAGAGAGGAGAGAGGGGGGGGGGGGGGGGGGGGATATAGCTACCAACGCAGAGACGAAGTCCTTTGGTCCAGGCCAGTCGAGGATCCGCCTGCTACCCTGGGTGGATCTCAAAGGCTCTAGCTAACTCAGAAGTTTTTATTACTGAAAACTGTGAGGGGGAGGGGGAACAGATACAATAGGGAACAGATGTAACAGGTAGTCCATGTTCTCAGCAGTAAGCGAGAGCCATTGTTTTCTTGGTTCAGTGGTCACAACCTGCAGGCAAACATCTCCCTTTGGTCAGCTTGCCTCCCCCACACACATCCCCGGGCTGGGGGTTTCACTCCCAGTCCTTGGAAGGAGCAGAGGTGCCTGTTAGGAGTTTCACGTCTCAGTCCTTGATGGAGAAGCTTCTTACATCTCAGTCTGTCTGTCACGGTGGTTGTAAAACAGGTGAGGGTCTTCTGTGGGAGACCACCCGAAACTCAGGAGAAGTCCAGCCAGGCCGAGAGGTGGGACAGCTTCCAAAGTTGCTATTGTTGCAAACGGGGCACGGTGCCCCCTTCTTAGCATACAGCAAACACTCCTGTGAAAACAATAGCTCAACACTGAGCTTTCAGGTCTCAGGGCCTTTGGCATGTGACTTTTCTCCTTCAGAGCCAGATATTTTAGACAGGAGGCATCTTCTCTTCAGTGGTCTCCCAAGGACGATCATGAGGCAGATGAGGGAAAATTCTGACAGGCTCTCACAGCCCGGTACCAGCGGGCACAGGGGCGATCTCGGGTTTGGGGATGCCCGGGAGAGCTGGGGGGAGCTCGGGAGCCCCGGAGCGGGGAGAGCGCAGAGGGGCGGTCCCGGAGCCGGGGGACAAACCGGCTGCCTGGAGGGGTGCGGGAGGCTGGGAATGAGCGGGCTCCGGGCCTCCTGAGGCTGAAAGGGACGCTGACTTCTCCAGCTGCTCTTGGGCAGCGGGACCATCAAACCCAACACGCTCATACCTTGTTTCTCCCCAAACCAGGTTTTCCCATTCACAAACCTTGGCCCGATAGAGGAGGCCGTGTGGAAGAGGAAGATGTCCCGGGAGCTTAATGGAGGTGAGGAGGAAGTCAGTGCCCCTTTCCCCCTCTCTCCTGCTCCATCTCCCAGCCCAGCATGGCCCCGGCTGCAGGACAACCCTGCTGCCAAAGCTGTCCTGCTGGGGACGCACTGG